CTGCAGCTTGATTAATTTTTAAAATGTTATCGTAACAAACTGCACAATTCAATGGTGAAAACAGGTTGTCTGAGACACAGCTGCTATGAATTATGCAAACCAAATGAGGATCTAACTTGGGAATCCAAGTGGCTCTACATCCTTGATAATTACATGTAGTAAGGTCTCCTTGGGTCCTGGGTGAAATACTACTACTGAATTCACATCCTCTACTGACGGACATTTACTTGTATGTAGTGTATGAGCTGAACTTTCCAGTCCTTGTAGCTCCTCACTCAACACTAGTTCCCCAGGGACAGTTCCATGGTCTCCTCCATCATCTAGCAGTCCAGACAACTGTCCTTCATCCTCCAGTTGCACATCACTCATCTAAACTAGGAGGAACACTATGAGTCACACTGTATAATCATAATAATACAAGGCAGATTACATTGTCTTCCAAACATAATCAATATGACTCTTAACTGATATTTTAGTAAGTTATTTCATTAAAATCTCTTATTGTTATATAAGTCACCAGTGTGACAATCATAAACAACTAACTCACTATATCATACACCTCTCCCTTCTCTTATCTCAATTATCCCTCAGCTCAATGAACTTTGTTTCTTAATCAAACTAACTTCATTTAGAGCATTTATATTTTGAAGGATATCAAGTTCTCTATTTGTTACCAATCAGGATGCACAGACATCATCGCTTCAATTAATTAGCTTGAGCGAAAATGCCTGAGTGAGCATCGTCACCCGGAAGGGTTAACAGTGCTGAGCTGCTACCATAGCGCTCCATTGGCTAACATCGTTCACCATTACTCTAGCAAGATGTATTGGGTTGAGAATTCCACCCTGAATGGTTCTCATATAACCCATACTGAGGATACAAGGTCCATCCCAACATAACTCTAGATTGCTAGTAAGACCGGAAGGTCAGCGTCCGGAAGGATCACTAAAGCTAGCAGTCCCGCTAAAGTTCGCCTGAAAAGGCTGAACCTGGTACTGAGGACATCAATAAAATAGAGTTATGAAGAGAAAAAACTTAACTCTGGCCTGCATGCTGAGAGTAATTAGAAAACCCAGGGTGGAAGCCCGAAAAGTTTTGTGAACGAACATGAGAAGAGGGAGAGAGATGGCCATATATATCATGGTATTCATACTAGCACGTGTATAATTGAGACAGAAAATTTTATACAGTACAGTATATACAGTAGTACCCCGATTTACGCGGTCAATTGAACCCACAGGGTACCGCGGAAAGTGAAAACCGCGTAAAGTGAACAACAGAACATATGGGATTAATTCCAATAGAGACTGGCCCGACCCCCAAACTCCACTTTTTCCGACACAATACCTATGTTGTAGTAAAAATAACATCTAAATTTTATGATGGTATGCTCACACAATTAATATTTAAGAGAAATACAGTCGCCAGGTTAATGTCCATTCAAATAATGGACTCAAATCCCCCCCCCCCTCTTCCCAGCTCACTAGCTCCTACCTCTCTGATTAATGTTTGGGTGAAAACTCTAGATTTTAACGTTTAGTAATAAATAATACCTCAGACTAAAGTTAGGATAATATAATTGACATTTCTGGATTCCTTGCAGGTCAGGGAATATTTTGAATGTAAACTTCATATATTTTGCACAAAAGATAAAATATTTGCTTTGTGTAAACCAAATTATTACTTTAGATCTAAAATTTGTATGTCTAATGCAAAATCCATGATGTTTATATTCAAAATGATCATCATATTGTAAGAATTCCAGCAATGTAAATTATATTCTGGCCGGGTAATTTGTATGAATTTTATGAGCTAAATAAAAAAAAAAATTATACTTCACGCGTATATGAGTAGATGCACCGCGGAAAGTGAAAGTCCGGTTCTGGCAAGGTACCGCGTAAATGAGAAATCGCGGAAAGTGATGTAAAGCGAGGTAATACTGTATATATATATATATATATATATATATATATATATATATATATATATATATATATATATATATATATATATATATATATATATATATATATATATATATATATATATATGTATGTATGTATGTATGTATATATATGTATGTATGTATGTATGTATGTATGTATGTATGTATGTATGTATGTATATGTATGTATATATATATATATATATATATATATATATATATATATATATATATATATATATATATATATATATATATATATACAGTGGGGTATGCTATAACGAACGGATCCTACTACGAATATTCCTATAACGAACGGTTTTACCTATAAAATTGAGAATGCTATAACGAACGAAACTCCTACAACGAACATTATTTAAAAAATTTTTTTTTTTTTTTACTAATTTATTGTTTTTTTATTACAAGTATTAATGATATTCTTTATTTCAGGGGTTTAGATGCATATTTATGCACTTTTTTACAATTTTTACAATTTTATATTATATTTTTCAGTGTTAAGTGGTTGTATTTGGGGGCCTGGAACGGATTAATCCTATAACGAACAAGGTTCTAGAACCAATTAGATTCATTATAGCATACCCCACTGTATATATATATATATATATATATATATATATATATATATATATATATATATATATATATATATATATATATATATATATATATATATATATATATATATATATATATATATATAAACAGTACAGTCAACCCTCACTTTACGCGGTTAATTCAACCCACAGGGTACCGCGGAAAGTGAACAACATAACATATGGGATTAATTGAAATAGAGACCGGGCCGACCCCCAAACTCCACTTTTTGACGACACACAACTATGTTGTAGTAAAAATATTATCTTAACTTTATGATGGTATACACACACAATTAATAATTAAGAGAAATATTAATAATATTAGGTTTTTTAACACTTACATTAGGAGAAAAGATGGCTGGGTACACGGGGATGGGCGGTTGGTTCCGAGGCAGAGGGCAGATTATTGGCCCTCACCTGTAACACTTGTATCACTATCCACCACAGAGGCTTGCAGGGCCTCATTGTCAAACCCCTCAAAGTCCATATAAGTCCATATCCTCACTATAATTATCACTATCACTGACTTGGGCCGGCTGTGGTGGGTGGCGGGTGAAAAACTCGGTAATGTTTTGATGACTGGGCGACCTTGTGCGCACCAAGCTCGTGCCGCTTACACAACATGGCGGATGGTGGGAGAGATGGCGGGAGGCTTGGATCCAAAAATGGCTTGGCTCGCCAGCCGCTCTCCGCGTAAAGGGGTACACGCACCGCGGAATGTGAGTATTCCTGTTTCGGCAGGGTATCGCGTAAACGTAGAAACGCGGAATGTGGGACCGCGTAAAGCGAGGGTTGACTGTATATATATTCTTTCAGTGAAGATGAGCCCAGAAGGGCGAAAAACAACGTCATTCACTAAGTGACTTGAAAGCAGAGGATATTAGTCACTAACAATCTGCTGTCTTCATAATAGAAGACTAGCTGTGGTTGCCACGCTGACCAGACCATATAAGAAATTGTCCCAAACACAATATACAAGAGACATAAACAAAATAAAAGTTGCTCAACTTCTTCACCGTGCTAAGATGTATAAATACTGTATATAAAATCCTCGTGGCAGTTAGTATTTCAGTTATTACAACACAAATTAGCAGAGCCTACTTTGTGCGTATTTACAGCTGTTTCGACAGGCAAGAAGCTGATGGTAGCAATGTGTGTGATGGAGGGTGCGGGAGGGGATTTTGAGAATTGCAATTAAATGCCAGGTAGCGATGTGTCCTCCTAATATATACGTATTAAGTAATTATTGAATGTTTTAATTGCCTGTATGTTGGCCTGGCGAGTTATTGCTAGGCATTAACATACCTAGGTATAAAGCTAGATGTCGCATTCTGGTTTGAACAAAAATAACACATTTATGAGTAGATAGAAAATGGAGGCCTTTCACAGAACTCCCTTGAAATCTCTTGCAGCACCCAAATGTTAAATTTTTAGCAAAGGTGGCCATCTTGAATAAGATGAAAAATGGTAAAACGTGATAAATTTAAAAGGGGAGCACCAAAGGTATACTGTATTGTCTTTATGTTCCATTCACACACCTAATTTGGGTTCACCATACGATACACAGTTAAAAAGGTATCTTTATGGAGGATTCTGATAAATATCAAAGTGATCATTGTGACTTCTGTTGTCTTGGTAAATTTTTCAAAATCCTTCATCCATTGTATCATATTGTCTAACTCCGTAAAGATACTTATTCGACTGTGTACCTGAGTGAGGCCGGCAGCAATTATCAATGAGAAAGAGCAAAGATCATAGAAAAACCTCGGGGCCACCCCATCATACACTTGTTATGGAACTTCCACAAACAACTGTGTGTGTGTGTGTCCTATCTGTCTACCAAATATATACAGAATTAAAATTGAAGGATCAAAGAGTAAGGTGTGGAAAAAGGTGCAAGCTATGAATAATTATATGTAAACTACACAGCAAATCATGTATACATGGTTCAAGGAGTAAACCATAACCATATTTAAGACAAACAAAACAAACAGGGACTCAAACAGTTACTGGACACTAACACTTCAAGCTAGGAAGTGTAGTACTGTAGGCACTGAATTACAACTATCATTTTTAACCCTCATTCTTTTTACACACACTGTTACTTCTTCCTGCAGGCAAGTGGTGGTCGTTTCACCCATGTGATGGTGAGCACAATAAGCAGAGATCCTGAGTAATGAATGTATCAAGTGTTAATGCTTTGATAATTTATAAGGTACAGGTTAATGGTGGGTAATATTTTTACAGTCTACACACATCACATTACTTGGAAAACAGAACAGAGTACAGTATTTATGGTAGAGAGTACTGTACACAAGCAATAGCTTAATTTAGTTTGAGAGTCTTGATTTTCATCAATTATGCAAAATTATCAAATGTAAGTACAAACCAAACACAGAATTTTGCTAATACAGTACAGGTTTCAGAATAACACCTACCTTCCCACAAGGAGTTGCTCCTTTGCTTTGGCTTTTGGTCTACATAGTGGCCAAATGTCCATTGTAAAGAGTGTAGATGCAGAATTGAAGATGGATGTAAGGTCAGTCATCAGTGCTGAAAGCATTACTGACAGCATGACGCCACGCATGCCACTTGGCAGGGATTCCAATACAAGTTTAGGGTAAGCCGAGTTGCTGCATGATACCCTTGAACCACAGAATTTGTAGCACTCCTCTGGAACAATACAACCCACTTCGTTGGGGAATAGCACACGAGAGATCATTCCTGGCCAAAATAAAATAGAAAGTGAAAATTCTATGGAGAGAATTGTTAAAAAATAAAATCTGTTACACAACTTTTTGGCAAGAATAGAATGTAAAATTTTTTACAAGAATGTCGAGATCCACAGAAGGAGAGTACAGTATTTGTTTTTCTTTAAATCAAAACCAAATAATATTTCGTAAAATTATCAAATACGGTACAGTATAAGTTTACATATACATATTTGAAGTTAATAATCCATCAGCTTGCTCCATCTCTGAACTTAGGCAGAAAAATACCAATCAAAATTAGACCAGATTGTGGGAAACTGTCTTGTAAATTCACTTGACCAATCAAACTGCAGGAACATCAATAAATAAACATGTGTTGTATCAGCTCTATTGTGAAACCAGGGTTGAACCACAACATACAGTATATTCATCCTTAACCTCATTGATGTCATCTAGCATGAGGTGTCTACTCATCAGAATGCACCTACCTAATTAATTACAAATTGCTCACTGAGCTTTAGAATCAAACTCATGTTAAGTCTCAACATAGGATTTCATCAAGTGATGTTTGATCAGAATTGCAAGAAATGTAGTGATTATAACAAGAAAAACTCAACCAATTGGAATGAAGTGACTAAACAAGCATGTAGTCATTCTATCATCCAAATCATGCTACAACTCAAGAAAGTAAACAAATAAGCAATCATTGTTTTCCAAAAGACATACTTCTATTTGAATCTAAGGAGAGTCAGTCCACTACTGTACTTGTACCGAAGCTAAAAAAACAAACAACCAGAGCTTTATTAGAATATCTGGTGATAATGCTGTTTGGTCTCACTTGATACGACTACCGCTTAAACTCCATCTGTGAACCAAGGATAATAATAATGGTTGCCCCTCGTGTAACGAGGATGGCCGGCCCTAGGGTTACCTAGGCATGGTTTTGTTTAAGGTCTAGAAGCTGTCACCAACACAACTACAACACCTTGAGTTAACGAGCTGCAAGACCCAGTGTCAAGGAATAGTCCGAGAAGACCGGACAACTCGCCAACTGCACTGGCTTACCATTGCCCCAGAATACGATCCGCAAATCGATTAACATCCAGGTCCCCAATTACTGCTGGGTAGACAGAGGCAATTGGCGTAAAGAAACTTGCCCATAGTTTCACCCTGCCCAGGAATCGAACCCGGGTCTGCTCGCTTGTGAGGCGAGCATGCTGACCATTACACCATAGGTTGCCACACTGCCGACCATTACCAGGGATACAACTACCAAGTCAGACAAGTATAAGGAATTTAATTAGTTTGTTTACTTAAAGAAGAACAAGTTCTAAAGTCAAATCATAAAGTACACACAATGTGAAATACAATAGTAAAAATCTGAATTGTCACAAGTCCCAAGGAGGCACCAGGTATCAGAAATACAGGTTGACAATCCCTTATCCGAAATCCTTGGGGCCAGAGGCATTTCGGATTTCGGAATTTTTCGGTTTTCAGAATTATTATTTTTTCTTTATTAGCCCACCCAGCCACAAGTCACTGACCCACATTGGGGCCTGGGAGGCGATAATATAATAATAAATATAATAATAATAATTTATAATTCATAGGTCTAGGTCGTGTTTCTCACTTTTTATCTTTTTTCATTCTTGTACTGTATTTCTTTATTATTATTATTATTATTATTATTATTTTATTAATACAGTATTATTGTTATTATTATGATTATTATTAATTTTATTATTATATTTTCTTATTATTATTATTGTTATTATTATTATTATATTTTGGTGTATTTTTTATTAAAATTTTTATTTACTATGAATAATTATTATTATTATAATTAGTATTACTATTACATTTTCGCCCCCCAGGCCCCGATGTGGGTCAGTGATCTATGCCTGGGTGAGCTAATCCCTGTTATAAAAAAAAAAAAAAAAAAAAATTACTCCACAAAAAAAACTTTAGGTTTTCAGAGTTTTTCGGTTTTTGGAATTTCGGATAAAGGGTTGTCAACCTGTACTGCAATATGTAGGAGCCAGGACACTATGGATACACATCACAAATGAGAAAATATATAAAATTATGTCACCTAAACAAATTGCTGAATATGAAGGTCTTTAACTTCACTTACATACATTCATGAAGAGTAACATTTCATGTTAAGACAGTACTGTACTGCTGTAACTTTATTTGTTATGTTTTTTCACCTTATACATCAAATAGTTTATAGCTATTAAAGTAATTGAGGTTACAGATAAACAGTTAGTTTTACCTGGGAAGATTATGATGAAAAGTGGCAAAATCTTTGCATAGCCAGCAAAAATTGTGCCGCCCTTTGCATGTGAAAGGCTGCGAGCTGCCATCACACGCTGTACCATCATCTGAAAAGATAAGTACAGTAACACATAATATAAGGCGTGTTTAAAGTTCTGCTTAAATGCAGTACATAAGTGCAAAGGGGAAAGTAGTGTAGACAACAAAAGAACAATCTGAAATGTAATACAGTGACCCCTCGGTTAACGAACTCAATCCGTTCCAGAAGGTCGTTCGTTAACCGAAACCATTGTTTCAATGGGTTTTTTGGTAATTGGATCCAGCTCACCGAAAATTGCCTAAATTCAACAAAAATGTTAGAAAAGTTCACTTACTTTGAGGTGTGTATGTAGAAGGCTCCTGGATGATGATGATGGGAATTAGAATGGGGGTGGAGGAGAAGGAAGAGAAGGCATTGGGGTGGAAGAGAAGTCACCCCATGGCACCATTTCACCCATAAAATTTTAGTTCTCTTGGTGTATTTCAAGATTATTTTCTTTAAATCAACGCTGCACTGCATTATATATTGTCAATATGTAAAATATATTTCAAAATGACCAATAATTTGCTTGGAAACACAGAAAAAAGCGTTTAGTTGAATAGAGTCTCAAGCAAGATGTTACCTCCAGTGAAAACAGAGAGAGACTAACGCCTGTTTGCTGTGTTAAGAGGCTGGATGCCGCGCATTAAACTAGTCACTTTACCTTCAATTATGTTCAATAATTGTTAAAATGACTAAAAAATTGAATATTAAACTTTTAAAATTATTGAATAGTACAGTGAGTTCTGCTATAACGCGTGTTTTGATAACGCGAATTTGCTCTAACGCGATTTATGAATTAGGAACGATATTTGTATAACGCGAACGCTTGTTTGCTATAACGCGATTTTTGCTTACTACTTCTCCAATTTTGTGGTATTAACTGTGAATATAGTAATGAAGAATATCAACAAGAAGCGTTCTGGTGATAGAATTCCCGGTGATGATCGTAAAAGAAAGGATATAACACTTGAAGAGAAGCTCGATTTTATCAACCTCAAAATCACCCTTCTCCCCCATCAAGTAAAGTGTTACATTTACTGTATGATTTCATTATTAGATATGAATGTAACATTTATTTAGACTGTGCTATCCTTTGTGTTAGGCTAACTACTAAATTTTTTCGATTTCGAGTAATCTGCACCTAACCCTATTTTCTCCATAAGCCCTGTTATTTCTATTACGCGATTTTCTATAACACGATATTTTACAAGAACACAATTATCGCGTTATAGCAGAACTACCTGTATATACTTCTTGATATTTACTAAAATAGTAAGGAATTTAAGCCCTAGAACGATTAATGTATTGGCGGACTGATACTAAAGCTGGTTGCCCGGTCAGTGCAAGCGGAAACATGTTGAGGTCGGTTCGTAAGAAATTCGTTAACCGAATTTTTGTTCGTTAACCGAATTGAAGATCCTTATGGAAGGCAGTTCGTTAACCGAAATTTCGTTGACCGAGGCGTTCGTTAAACGAGGGGCCACTGTAATGAATGAAACCCAAACACTCCTGTGTAATTTTGCATTTCCTTTGCATTAAAAAGCTTCTGTCATAAATTGTGATGTGACACTGGCTATTCCACCCCTTGCAGTGCAATTTACAGCTGTAACTTACCTGGTCAGCACACCAATACCAGATGGAAACAGGCATCTGGCCCAATAAGAAAGCAACCCAGGGCATATCACTGACAGAGGGGTCAGCGTCTCTCAACATTCTCCACGAGTCAACACGAGGGAGTCCACATGTTGAGTTCTCTATCATTTTCTCAGGAATAGCCTCCAGATACTTTGTCTGTAGTTCTGCATACCCACCAACTTTTTTAAAGGCTGAAAAAATAAGAAAATTCCAATAAATACATTAATCCATTGAACTATGACACTTACTGTAAAGCAATGTAAAGAGTGACCAGTTTTTATTAAACATGTTTTGTATCATTTTAAGACATTTTGTCTTTTATAATGGGCAGTGGCACACCCAGAAATTTGCCAAGGGGGGTGAACTTTCAACAAACATACTGAGGTATTTTTGAAATATGGGATATTAAATATTTTTCTGTACATTCATGATGAGCTTTATATATATATATATATATATATATATATATATATATATATATATATATATATATATATATATATATATATATATATATATATATATATATATATATATATATATATATATATATATATATACACAGGATTAGCCCACCAGGGCACAGGTCAGTGACCCACATCAGGGCCTGGAGGCTAAAATATAATACAGTAATACCCCGCTTAACACGGTTTCGCTTAGCGCGATTTCACGTATACACGGTGCCTCGCCAGAGCTGAACTTTCACTTAACGCGGGTTTTTTCCACATATACGCGCAGTGTGTCCGGCTTGAGAGCTATTTTTAGATTCGCCCCACCCGCCACCCTGCCTGACTGCCTGCCTGCCTGTTTTAGCTCATAAAATTCATACAAATTACCCGGCCAGAATATAATTTACATTGCTGGAATTCTTACAATATGATGATCATTTTGAATATAAACATCATAGATTTTGCATTAGACATACAAATTTTAGATATAATGTTTACTCTGAGTAAATATGTTATTTTTTGTGCAAAATATATGACATTTATATTCAAAATATTCCTGGTTTTACAAGGAATCCAGCAATGTCAATTGTATTATCCTAACTTTAGTTTGAGGTATTATTTATTAAAATTTAGTGGTTTTCCCCCTAAAATTTCTCAGAGAGGGAAGAGCCAGCAGTGTAGTGTGAGAAGAGGGGGAGGGAGTTGAGTCCATTATTTGAATGGACATTAACTTGGCGACTGTATTTCTCTATTTCTCTTAAGTATTAATTGTGTGCATGTACCATCATAAAATTAAGATGTTATTTTTACTAGAACATAGGTATTGTGTCGGAAAAAGTGGAGTTTGGGGGTCGGGCCAGTTTCTATTGGAATTAATCCCATATGTTCTGTTGTTCACTTAGCGCGGTTTTCACTTAACACGGTACCCTGTGGGTTTTATTGACCGCGTTAAGCGGGGTACTACTGTAATAATAATAATAATAATAATAATAATAATAATAATAATAACAATAATAATAATAGTACTTGTAATAGTAATAATAATTAATAACAAATTTGAAAAAATATTAAATAAAAATATAATATAATAATGATAATAATAAAGGACCATAGATAAAAAAATAAAAAAGATCAATACGTGTAGTGTAAATGAGGCAGAAAGTCAGATCAGCGACCTAATGCTATTATTTTTAGTTTGCTATCATTATTATTTTTTCTTTTCTTATTGTTAAAAGTGGTTTATTTTGAATAATTTAGAAGCTCAAGGGGGGTTGGCAATTACCCCCCCCCCCCTTATGGTTTGCCTATGATAATGGGGGTATATGGGAAATATGATCTGATTTACGAAAGTGCTTTTCAGGGATTGAAGGCTTATAAATCTGGGAATCTCACAACAAAAGATAAAAAAAATTTGGTTTCATTTTTTTGTTTTCCCCAACTCCTTAGGCTTAGGGCATCTGTTTAACATCATTTACCCATTTGCTGGCCACTCGTCCGGTCCAAATTTCACCCATAGACAGGCTGATGACGCAATCTGCATCATTGCCAATCTAACCCATAGACCAGCCAAGCATAGATTTTTTTTGAATTTATTTTTTATTGCTATTTACAGATAAAATTATGCTATTTTTTCTTATTTTTTACCAAGTTAAAAAGTTAAACTATCTCACCTTCAATCATTACATATAAGGATCCACCAATCATAATGAAGAACTGCAGTGTATCAGTGTACATAACAGCAGCAAGGCCCCCTAAAAGGGTGCACATGGCAGTCATCATCAACAGTACAATGATGGACATGTATATGTTGCTCACTCTCAGAGCCTGCTGGATGAAGATGGCACCTGAGTACAAGTTGACCTGTTGAGGAGAGTGAAATATTATGGAATAATTTTAAAAAATTTGTGAACAAATCATCTGCATGTGTGATGGCCAAAGTATCCATAACTAGAAGACACCTTTGATTACACATTTAAAGTCATCCCCTGTATTAATAATAGTTGCCCCTGTATTTGTGGATGGTCTGCCCTAAGGCCACCTGTCACCAACACAACAACCACACCCTATGTTAACGAATGTATGACCCAGAGTCATTGGCTGACCACTACCCCGGAAGAAGAATTACAAATCAATTAACATTCAGGTCCCCAATAACTGCCCATAGGTTCACCTTGCCTAGGGATAAAACCAGGATCCACACGTCATCCCCCCCCCTTATGTATACTGTAGTATTAATACCGTAGTATTACTTTATCAAAAGAGAAGTGGATTATTTAAATAATTCTGTATCCCTAATGTTAATATATTTCACTCTGAAGATCTTATTGTAAAAGATATTGTAAAAAGGGACTCATGAAAGTGTACTGACCGAAATTTTAGTGAAGATGTAAAGGATGAGGGAGAGAACAGCCAGGTATGTCTGGATCCTGCGCCCACCAAACCTCTTCTTTGTATACTCTGGCAGCGTGCTCACCTGACAACCAGATCAACATGTTACACAATAAACAAGGAAGTTTTAATAGCTATCACCCCAGCATTTAAGCACTGCTTAAGCAAGGAATATAATCACATGCAGGATTCAAAAAGATTTATAAATTATTTTCAAGCATTTTTAAAATGAGAAGTAACAAGCAGAGCCAATGATAGTTAACAAGAAACAATTCAATCAAGCTACGGGTGGTATGTTTACCTGAGGACAACTACAACAGGAGACAAGTTCTGGGCGTGGTCTAACACTCCTGCGTACCGGGAGTTGGTTGCACACTTCTTCTTCTTCTCCTTCCCATTACAGTTTTCTTTGCAAAGGTTCCTTACTTGTTTACCTTTTTTGTACATTATTCCTACATCATCCTTGGTCAGACATTTTGAGGGATGATGTTCCTATCTAGTTTACAACTCCATATTATAGTGCTATAGTCAGGCTAAGCTGGTGTTTTGAGTCTCACAGTTTTGCTGTGTGGTTATACAGTATGTAGTCTCAGTGATAAGAACATGCCAGAAGTGTAGGTACAGGGATTGGAATAGTACTGTATAAGAAAAATTACAGCAATAGTTTTATACGTGAATTTTCAAAGACTATTCCATAAAGGAGGGAATATCTCTAAATACAGACATTCCTGCAAGCCATTATTTAATACAGGTCATATACAGAGAGAAAAGTGAATATAAAGCATAATTGTAGAAGTTTTCACCCTTAATGTTAAGTCAAGTCAGCCCAAAACAGAAAGTTTACAACACCCGATTTGGTGGGAGAGATTCTCTATAAAGGAACATAATATAATTCATGCAAGGTTATAAATACTGTTCCTTTCTAAAGCTTACATGCTGTCACTAACACTATCACAACAGACTGGGTGACTAGCTATATACAGTATACTGTAATATACAGCACATGCACATTATGAATATTGTAAACAGTAATAGCTAAAAGACTACAAGTTAAACAGATAAATAGAATCAGATAGACATTTATTTTGCATAATCAACATGTAAGTTTATACATAGACAGTGCAGGTATACAAGCAAGGTTAAACAATAAGTTGATTCGATTACCCAATGATACAGTAGTTGAAACAACTCAGTCTTAAGCTAATACAGTATTCAAGAAGCTTCATTAATACATGGTATTATATGCATAGTCAAATATATATCACAATTAAATATATATCACAAGGAACACCTGATTTTTCTTAAAAAATACAGTACCCATATTGTACAGACTTGAGGAAACCGTGGTGTTAGAGTTCGATAGTCTAGCAACAGCTTGGCCTGCTGACCTAACCCTGCCTTAACCTAGCTTGATCTTAGGAGATAACTGTTGTGCTGGTGTTAAATCCAACTCTCATATAGATTTACACATGAGTACTTTACATATAATTCCAAGATGCCCTTCCCACCAATACATAAAGTCTTGTCAAATCAGACTGACTCTTCTTGGCATAAACTCCTATGTATCAAATACTGTAAAGTATACAGAATATATTAGTAAACTTGTCATTGACACAAATTGTTAGGCAACCAGTATTACATGGAATCAGTATTCAAAAATTGCCCAATACTGTACACTCAAATTTGTTCCAAGAAAAGGTGTACTGTACTGTATTACAAACACACCAATATACTATTCAATAACCCTCACTCACAGCAAAGCCAGAGGTTAATATGCAGACAAGTGTTGTGAGGTAGGCATCGCGTTGTACAGTATCATAATATGATTAATTTACTTTCGTTTTGTATTGAGTAATGCAATAAGTTATATCGTATTCAGAGTAGTATTTGAGGTGTCGTGTAGGGTGAGTATGGCCATCGCTCTGTGGTACTGTATAAGGGTTACTGGTGCATCCAAGAACGACATACTGTACCATATTTCCTGCTAAATAAGGTGTACCTTTTTGTATTAATAACTCTGTATTATATACCAATGGTTAAACCTAGAGTGGGAATGCTGCCAAACAAAATTGCGTATACTGTACTGGGTACTATGATTTTTTTTTTCCCACAATTTTCTTTCTTTGTCCTAAGTCTCCCATTTTTATTCCTGGGGCCGTTGATATTTTGCTCTAAATCTTGAAAAATATTCTGTCTATCTGCAGTGTGTGTGTGTGTGTGTGTGTGTGTGTGTGTGTGTGTGTGTGTGTGTGTGTGTGTGTGTTAGGGACCACCATGAATATATTTGTGATGAAAAGAATCCAATGGCAACACCTGTTTTCATCGTGTTAATATGAGCTGACACGTAGTAGATAAAGTTGTACGGTAGTCTGTTCAATTTGTTGGTCTTATAAGACAAGGTGGCTCCATGACCACTGTTTCCTTTGCTGCCACAATATACAGTTGTTGTAGTTGATCTAATGGTTGTGCTTGATGCAGCTGCTGTACTTAGTGCAATTGCTGTCTTTTGTATGTCTCCCCCCAAAAAAGAATGTCAATATATTCATGAATAGCATCATGCATCAAGTGGGTGTCACTGTTGCATCTAATAAGTATACAACTATACTGTAATACGTAATATAGTGATGTACTCCTACGTCCACATCATAATTGCTAACCGGAACATGAACCATAACTGTACAGTAACACACGTTTACAGTACAGAAAATACTTAATTTCAAACTCTGCATTGATAGTAATATAAAAGCTACTGAAAAAATTAAATTTTATCCTCAAATCTTTCCTCAAGTTATTAGCAGGTACTGTATATACAGGACAGCTTGGCAGAGGTAATACGTTCCTTCGTAATATTAATCTCCACATACATCTTAATTTGTCCTTCAAGAGTTCCTGTAGTTTGTCTCGTTTAATTATTTACATTAAGCCAGACTTCTTGTTGCTCGACCTCTTCAAATCCTCCTGGCTCTCTTAGTGTACACCTAACCATTTGGCACAAACCTGATACAGTAGTTTAATGATGCAAGACAGTTTTATATACGAACTGTCTCATCTTGTACAGGTACGATACTTTATAGTTTCGTTCAATGTATTTGCCTAGATCAGACATGTTAAGCAAGCACCTTTTTGTGACTCCTTGTGGTAAAATGAGAAAAAAGAGAGAGAGAGAGAATGGCGTGCATAAACTGTGCTGTACTCACCCCACTGGCGATGAAAACTGGCAGGAACACCCAGCCTAGTAGCTGTAACAACACCATGGCCTGTCAGGGAGGAACCATCATTATTATTATTATTATTATTATTATTAGTAGTAGTAGTAGTAGTAGTAGTAGTAGTAGTAGTAGTAGTAGTAGTAGTAGCAGCATCACAAGTCATAAATTTTATGCTATTCACTCGACTCACTCATTCACTGACGGAGACAAACATAATTTCTAAGGTGCAGTATTCGATTTAACTCACATGTTATTATCATTATTATAATTAGTAATATTTATTACTATTATACCTGTAGAACGAATGTAACCACAACCTTATAACCAACTCGGGAACAACTAGCTTTGTGTGCACAGACAACTACACAACAAATGGGAAACAACACAACAACAAAAACAAAAGTACAGTATATACTCTGTACCATATTTATTGGCACCACCAGTCTATCCTTGTCTAAAAATGATATCTTGCTGACACAAGGCAAGTCAATACTGATACTGGGGTCTTCATTGTTGCTGACAGGCGCTAAGCTCACTACTCATGGCTGACACAACAATGCTCAGATTTGATTTACTTATTCAAAAATATTTGTGTAGAGATTATTCTGTAGCGTACTGTATGTGGCCAGTTGTCAATTCTCTTTGGTTGTCTATTATCTCTTTGTATGGGCTCACAAACGTACGTACATGTAGATATCTCACACTCAGGGTTGAGGTAGAATAGAAACTCGCAATGCGTTTTCTGTGTACTATATATATATATTGTTGTACAGTGCAGTGCTAAGGATTACTAGGTGATGAGTAGTTTGCTCAGAGGTCCTGTTGGGCGAGGAGCTTTCTGAGGGAGCTGGTTGGTGAGGCGCTGTAGAGAGGTCTTGCTGGTCCAGTAGGTCAGAGTAGAATGGTCTCCCTGGCCAGCCATGCCCATATTTATACAATTCTGCCAGCTCAGGAATCGAGGCGAGCGTAGCGCGGGAGCCAATCACGGAGGAGAACGCAAAAGGTGCCAGGCTCCGTGATCCTGGCATGTCGTGGGAAGCTATGGCCTCTCCTGGAGTTGCTACGTGTGCGTCCGCACTGGGGAGTAGGTCTATCGGCATCGCTGGCTGTACGCTGATTGGCTGGTAAGCGCGTGGCAGGAGCTCAGTCTTCAGTTGTGCGGGAGAGGATCCACTACAATTCACACTCAATATGCTAATTTTAACCCTGAATAAAAAAATATTTACTCAGATTGAGAAGTTATTCACAGGGGTTAGGACAAGTTATTCGGATATGAATTAAAAAACTTTATTTAAACTTGGGTTCAGAAAGTTTATTCACATTTCAGTCAAGTTAATTCTCTATAAGATTCCCAAAATTTATCGCCATTGTGAGGCAATGTCCTGCACACAGGCACCCAGTCTGAGTTCTCCCCCATCAAAATAAGGATAAAACAAGGATGTGCACTGACACCAACTCTCTTTTCCATTATCTTGGCTACCTTCCTTACTTGTGCCAGTGCCAATTTACCCAGCAGGGGTGGCTATCCAGTACATACTGATTGATGGGACTTTTCAACATAAGACGTCTCCAGGCAGGAACAAAGGTGTCGGCCGCTTCCATCATTGAACTTCAGTATGCAGACAACCTCACCTTTCTCTCTCACACTTAACACAACCTACAGGAGATCCTGAACACCTATGCAAATGTGTATGAACACTTCGGCATTGAGGTGAACGTGCGCAAGACTCAAATTCTCTTTCAGCCTGCCCTTGGGTCAACCACACCCCCACCAACCATCCAGGTTAACAGTACTACCCTCTCTAATGATAACCACTATCAGTGTCTCGGCTCCCACCTATCTACCACCACAGACATCGATGAAGAGATTCAACATTGGATCAGATGTGCATCTCAAGCCTTCGGCAGATTCTGCACCCGTGTCTTCAGCTGTAGGGAGATGAAATTATCTACAAAGCTGCATGTATATTGATCAGTGGTCTTTCCTACCCTGCTATATGGCAGCGAGACGGGTCATATACAGGAGGCACTTCAAGGCACTTGAAAACTTTCACCAACATAGTCTACGTTCCATCCTCCGAGTTTATTGGGAAGACAAGAGAACAAATGCCAGTATTCTCGCTGACACCAGTTGTGGGAGCATCAAGGCTACCATTATCCATTAGCAACTACCTTAGACTGGCCATGTTACACGCATGGATGACAGTAAACTGCCAAAGCAGCTACTTCATAGTCACCTAACGAATAGTAAATGTAACGCCGGCATGCAACAGAAAAGGTATAACGATAGTGTTGAGACAAACCTAAAAAATGCCAAGTCACCCCCCTCGCCTAGCAGTCTATCAATCCATACTATAATGCTTAGAGAAGCACCACATGAGGTGTCAATTCTTTTGAGTTGGCCCGAATGCATACCGAGGCAGACAGGTGCCAGCGCTGGAAAGACGATGCCACTGCCTCTCCTGCACTAGATGTAGCCCTCCTCACATGCAACATCTGCTGACGGCCCTGCTGGTCCCGTATCAGCCTTTAAAGTCACTTCAGAACTCACCAACAAAGGTGACATCATAATTCATATCATTGCATCATAGCTGGATGATTGTTATACTCATTTCCAAGTAAGAGAAAAATGACACACATGAAATACACACACGTTGTACAATATCTCCATGTGTTTTGTAATCTGTGTCATCTTATCTATCTTATCATAACTGGACAGTTATTCTCTTCATTCCTTCATTTAATCAGTGAGAAATTCCAGTACAGTATTATCCACATGATGCACTCCATCCTGTCATAAACTAACCTCATCACCACTAGCCTAACCCAACTATAACTTAACCAAGTTGAGCATAAACTCACTTGACGTAACCATACACAAACCAAACCTAACCTGACTTTAACAAAATCTTGCTAAGTCTAGCCTAACTTAGCTGTAACCTAGCCTTGCCAAGTCTAACCTAGGAACCATAATTTAGCCATGCCAAACTAAACCAAAATCCAGTCTAACCTAACCTAAATATCCACTTTCAAACTACTGCACTGCTCATGATAGCTTTTGTTGTCATGATGTGTTATCTCCAAAATAACGGCCAGCAATAACAGAAATGTTTAAATGTCACAAACACACAGTGGTGGGCACAGCTAAATGAAAAGTTAGCTTCGCTAACTGCTAATCTGCTAACTGAAAAGTTAACTTCGCTAACGCTAAACAGCTAAAAAAATTAGCGGAAGCTAACGCTAACCACTAACTTTCATTATATGAATTTAGCTTCTTCTTTTTTTTTTGGCTCTAAAGCCCTTAAAAACAAACCTAGAGAGCTGAAATTTTCATATGTTGTCTTGTAGCTCAGACATAGAGCTTTCCAAAAAGGTATAGCATGCCAAGATCAGATGATGATCAAGGTGTACACAAATAATTAAATGAACAAATGAAATTAAACATTAGTTCACATTCAAGTTTCAACATACACTTTATAATCTTTATTTACTGTACGAAAAGACAGAAAGTATTAAACGAATCCAAAAACTATAGTACTGTATAGCATAGGTAGCAAATAGCATCATGCCAAGATCAGATGATGATTATCTTAAGAAGAACATAAGAAAATAAGGAGTCTGCAATAGGCCGGTTGGCCTGTGCATGGCAGCTCCTGTCGAGAGTTACTACCACTCTCTATCATCCATGAATCTATCTAGCCTCCTTTTGAAATTTTCCAGCGTTCGAGCACTTACTACAAAGTTGCTAAGCTTGTCCACTCGTCCACCACCCTATTTGTGAACCAGTTTCTTCCTATCTCCCTCCTAAACCTAAACTTATCCAACTTGAATCCTTTGCTCCGAGTCCTATCCTGCTCGGATATTATAAAAACTTTATCTATATCCCCTTTATTGATTCCTTTCACCCACTTAAATACTTCTATTATATCTCCCCGCACTCTTCGTCTTTCTAGGGAATGCAAGTTAAGTTTCTTAAGCCTATCCTGATAGGGAAGGTTTCTAAGTCCCGCAGTCATTTTTGTCATTCTTTGCTGCACCGACTCTAGTGAATTTATATCCATTCTATAATAGGGGCACCAGAACTGAACCGCATAATCGAGGTGTGGCCTGACTAGCGCAAGATATAGCTGCAATAAGACCTCTGCACTCTTGTTACTTACACTTCTAGATATAAAACCCAATACTCTGTTTGCCTTATTTCGAACATTGACGCACTGTTTTCTAGGCCATAGGTCCGGGCTTACAAGTACCCCTAGGTCTCTTTCACAAGTCGACTTCTCTAGGTTGATGTTATTAAGGCTGTATACCTTAAGGTAAACACTGTACACAATTTCACAAATAAGTAATTTGCATTCTCATACAACCTATCAGCCTTATTCATTATTCGTGTAAATATGCAATACCAACCAGATACACATTATACCAGTGCATTTTTATATTACTTAGTGTTGGTCTTAGTCAATATACCAGTGCATTTTTATATAACTTATTGTTGGTCTTAGTCATGTAAATAAAGAGAAAACTCTAAGCTTTAATGAAGAGTAAGTTTTTAGAAAATTTTGTTTGGCACACACCTTGGATGACATCCTGGTTATGAACTTATGCAGTACTTAGCATAACCAAATATATTGACACAAAAAAATCGTAATTAAATTAACAAATACATGAGAAATGAAATTATACATTAGTTTACAATTACATTCCATGATTCTTTCAACATACACTGACAGTCTTTATTTACTGTAAAAGAAAAAGTCATGTCTTGTCACGTTTACACGTACTAACACGCAGTCAGCCAAGCGTGCCAGACTGGCTGTTGGAGACACACGTCGCGGCATCACACGCTTACAACAGACAGGAACAAACGTGTATAAATTTTGTTAGCGGAACCAAATTTAGCGGAGGCTAATTGGTCCGCTAATGGTTTCCAAAGTTGGCGAAAAAGCTAATCCGCTAACGAGAAAGTTAGCTTCGCTAATTAGCGGTTAGCGGATTAGCGGAACCGTGCCCACCACTGCAAACACACCAAGGTATTACAACATCAAAGTATACAATGTCAAAATAGATTTAATATTAAAACATTAATCTTTACAAGCTATCATATCACATTATTAAAGGTCACAAAACAAAATTAAACCACCCAACAAGATGCAACTCTTGTCACAAACAACATGAAGAAAACAACAAACAAACTGCACCACCATTTAGGGCCACACACATCAAAAAACAAACCAACATATATCAACGTCACTGTCGTAATCGTGCAACACCCCGAGGTACTGTATTGCTATATCTTTTTATGGTTTGATGTCGTCAGCATGGGGGGGGAGGGGAGATAATACCTGTGGAATACTAATGATCAAAAGTGTATCTGTAAGACTATCAATTGGTCATGCATTTTGAGTGTTGCCAGGAGGCTGCGTGGTCAATATCTCATTAGACAAAATCCCACAGATGTTGTTTGATGAAGCCGGAGGTGATGAGGTAAATTAGGTAACTGTCCATGTGTACTTAATTCATAAATAATACTGTGTTATTATTGGCTGCACAAACCAACGGAATGGATCAAATGCCTTTTCTTCTTTATTGTTTGCCAGCAATGTGGCCAGGGCGAGAAAATACTGAAGTTGTTTCATAAAGATGTTATACGTGGTTAATGAAAAGGAAGTATGGAGATGATATTGCACATCTTCATATATCTATACTGTACCCCCGTGTGTGTTTTGTCTAATATGTAAACGGCGATTACTTTGTTTGAATACAATAATTAGGTAATTGTTATTTGTATGAGCCTTTGATGATGAGTACTCAGCATTGCTAGAGTTTGTTTTAAAGTGCCATCTCATAGCATACAGTATGTCCCTGACTACACAGTACCAGGGTATACTACACTATACAGTACCAGGGTATACTACACTATACAGTAGCAGGGTATACTACACTATACAGTACCAGAGTATACTACACTATACAGTACCAGGGTATACTACACTATACAGTACCAGGGTATACTACACTACACAGTACCAGATTATACTACACTACACAGTACCAGGGTATACTACACTATACAGTACCAGGGTATACTACACTATACAGTACCAGGGTATACTACACTATACAGTACCAGGGTATACTACACTACACAGAACCAGGGTATACTACACTGCACAGTACCAGGGTATACTACACGACACAGTACCAGGGTATACTACACTATACAGTACCAGGGTATATTACACTACACAGTACCAGGGTATACTACACCACACAGTACCAGGGTATACTACACCACACAGTACCAGGGTATACTACACTATACAGTACCAGGGTATACTACACTATACAGTACCAGGGTATACTACACTACACAGTATCAGGGTATACTGCACTACACAGTACCAGGGTATACTACACTATACAGTACCAGGGTATACACACTACACACCAGTATACTACACATCACTACTGCACTCAGGCACACAGTACCAGGGTATACTACACTATACAGTACCAGGGTATACTACACTACACAGTATCAGGGTATACTGCACTACAGTACCAGGGTATACTACACTATACAGTACCAGGGTATACTACACTATACAGTACCAGGGTATACTACACTACACAGAACCAGGGTATACTACACTACACAGTACCAGGGTATACTACACGACACAGTACCAGGGTATACTACACTATACAGTACCAGGGTATATTACACTACACAGTACCAGGGTATACTACACCACACAGTACCAGGGTATACTACACCACACAGTACCAGGGTATACTACACTATACAGTACCAGGGTATACTACACTATACAGTACCACGGTATACTACACTATACAGTACCACGGTATACTACACTACACAGTACCAGGGTATACTACACTACACAGTATCAGGGTATACTGCACTACACAGTACCAGGGTATACTACACTATACAGTACCAGGGTATACTACACTATACAGTACCAGGGTATACTACACTACACAGTATCAGGGTATACTGCACTACACAGTACCAGGGTATACTACACTATACAGTACCAGGGTATACTACACTACACAGTACCAGGGTATACTACACTACACAGTATCAGGGTATACTGCACTACACAGTACCAGGGTATACTACACTATACAGTACCAGGGTATACTACACTATACAGTACCAGGGTATACTACACTACACAGTACCAGGGTATACTGCACTACACAGTACCAGGGTATACTACACTACACAGTACCAGGGTATACTACACTACACTTAAACTACAGAGTAGTGATTTTAGGTGAAAAGCATAAGTAAGCTGAAAAACTGTAGCTGATGCGACATAAATATACTGTGGCTGAAATAATTCTTATATAAGCAAAACTTTCTCATGAAGAACTCGGGCATCAGAGCATTGGGTTGGGAGTGCAACCAGGCCACCATCATCACTACTACAACCACTACCAACACTGCTACCACCACCACCACTATTACTAATACCACCACCACCACTACTACTACCACCACCATCGCCACCATTACTACCACCACTATCGTCACCACCACTACTACTACCACCATTGCCGCCACCACTACTTCTACAGCCACTATCACCACCATCGCCACCCACTACCACCACCACAACTACAGGTAGTACTATACACCTGTGTTTGGTGTAAAAATATGTTTACTGTCGGCAAATGCAGGGTTTCTCTCTACTGCGAGTGTGGGGGAAGGAGGACGGGGAGTGTGGCGAAGGGTGAAGATGACGGTTGGGGTGATGATGAGGGAGAGAGGGGTGGGGGTGATAAATGAAAAGGTGTAGGTGATGAGAGAGATGGGTGGGGAGGAAGGTATGGGGTGATGAGGGAGAGAGAAGGGTGGGGGTGATAAGGGAGAGAGGGGTGGATGGGAGGTTGAAGGGAAGCATGAGGAATGGAGTAGTGAGAGTGGGAGGTTGAGCCTAGAGGGAGGGCAGTGTTCCTTCCTGGCCATATACGCCATGATGATGGTATTGGTATATTCCCCCTAGAGGCAGGCCTGGCACTTAACCATTAATAGGGGACTACTACGCTTTGCCAAGGGGAGGATGAGGGAAGAGAGTGCCAAGGGATGAAGGGAAGTGGTGAGGTAGGGGATCGGGAAGGTGAGGGAGGGGATTGGGAAGAGAAGAAAAGGAAGAGGTGATGAGAGGTAAAGGATTGGGGAGGTGAGAATCATGAGAAAGAAAGAAGATCAAGTGGAAACATACTTAATCCTCTTCATCCCTAGTCAGTTTACTAATACCGTCTGGATAATTGCTTACTTCATGGAATATCATGGCGAGGAGAGTGGAAGGGAGTGGAAAGGTGACCAATGGTTGAGGTAACTGAAGGGAACTGCATGGGGGAAGGGGTGATTGATAATATGTTATGTTCAACTCCAGGGAAAAAAATGACTGACCATCCTAATGTAACCAGACAGATGGAACATGTCAAGAAATTCCTTTAAAGTGCAAATAAAAATTGGGGGATACTGTAGGTGAGGTGAGGCTAAGCTAGACTAGAAGACAAGGTGGGTAGTGGTGGTGGGTGACTTACCTAATGTAAAGTCACCCAAAAAAGTCCTGTCGCGAACCACGAACCCCGAGATTCAGACTCGTGAACCCGAAGCAGTAGACACTGATACATTATTCTGTCCATAAATGCTTCGGATTCAAGAGTCTGAATCTCGGGGTTCATGGTTCGCGACTGGACTTTTTTGGGTGACTGTACATACCCTAATTTACGTAAAACAGTCTACAGTACACACATCCATTGCTGCCCCTTCACAGTTACCAGCCATGCCAAATCACACCTCTTAAGTACAGCACTGTATATATGTGAATAGTCTTATACACAGTTTTCTCATCTTTACTATCTAATATCTCTTTATCTAATCAATCTTTTATCTTTCTTTAACCTTTTCAATCATGGCCTTTTTTTTATCTGCTGTACTGTAACTACTATCTTTGTATGGTCTTTTTTATTGCTATTCCCTTTTATATTTTTATCTGTTGTTTTATTATTGTATGTTCTTTTATCTTCCGTCTACTGTGTTCTTGTCTACCCCTGAAGGCTGGGTTGTGATTGGGCGGTTCGCTGCTTACTCCAGTAAATAAAAAATAAAAATTGTATCCATAACGGTCGGCATAGTAATTGGTTTAAAATAATATCCCTGTTGTTGTTGTTTTTTACTCCATGATATATTGAGTTGTAATCAATGGTAATGTGAGATTTGACCTTTATTAAACCGTCTGTGAATGGATGAAAACGGTGAATCATGAGTAATTGTGAAGAAAAAAAAGTAAAATCAACACCGTAAGACTTACAGAATCACTTCTAGTCACCCTAAAAAATCTACTGTATACTTACGTTAAACTCAAAGGCGCCCACACCGATGCCAGCAGCGGCTCCAGATCCGGCTAGGCCAATAAAATGCTCGGAGCCGATGTTGCTGGCGAAGAGTGACGCCCCAACCTGTATGTTTAGGTACCAGAACCAGATGTTAGTCATCCTACATGTAAATAAACAAGCAGCAGCTGTTAGTCCATATATGTAAACAAACAGCTTATAGTTAACATACATGTAAACAAAAATCATGTCAGTTCACACAAGTTCACGCCTTAGAAGACATGCATGTACATTTTTAAGTCATATTGGCCTCGTGGGTGTGCAAGGGGCAAGCAAAATAACTACAGAGTACAGCAGTTTTAAGTAAGACTTGAAAAATATGAGATATGTGTGTACAGTATAATAGTTGATAGGCCGCCCTGGTTATTATTTTAGTTTATATTACACTTTAGCTGTTGCTATATTATTCACTTAATATTATGTTCGCAAATACGTCTCAGGGAATAACCCTCAGAAATGCTTGTATGCTTTTATTTAAATATAATCAAGATGACTCAAGAAAGTAACTGGCCATGACAGCCTTCTCTTTTTCACGATTACATTTTCTTTCCCCTGAAAATAAATCACGTTTAATTATAGGTCGCCTCTGTCTTATCAACTTTCAAAAGATTATTGGTCAGGATTGATATAAATTCAAGATGTAAACAAGAAAGTTTATTAGGCAATAGGTGAACAGACACACATTCATATCTGACAACTTAATACAGTGGCCTCGCATACCATCAACACCGCCACGTAGAGACAATACCACTCTAGACGTTCTCAACCATTCCTCCATCATTATCAAACACTGAAAACATTGAAATCTCTTGAACTAACTGATTCACCCCTGAGGCTGAAGTGTTCACATGATTTATCAGATGGCAGGCTATAGTAGGGGTTCAAGGTCCGCTTGGTATGGTACACTATTCACTTCACAGGGTTGTTTGATAACGTCGTCTACCAGGTAAATTACGATACGATTGACATATACTGTTCAGCTAATTTTAGGTTAGGCTGGGTTACTTGAGTTAAGTTTGCTTAGTTTTATATGAATGAAATGAAGCTGGCTTACTTGGGTTAGGTTAGGTTATTATTGCTAAATCAGGTTATGACTTCTTGTCCCAGTTGCCATAAGTCATAGTTACATCACATTAGCAGTCAGTGTTCTGATCATTGATGTCACCACAGAATCCACTTGTCCAGACCAATAATATGTATAATATAACCAACTTCGTCTCCTGCATTTATTATACACTGTATACTGTCATACATTGGTGCACCATATCTTATGTTGTCAATTCGATATATTTAAATATGAAGAAAAGAACGTTATCCTCAGGTGCCTTTGCCACGGTGGTCGCTATGAGCTTTTCCAATTCGGGTATACAATGTGTGCACACGGAGACGTGACTCCGAGCGTTCAGGGTAAAGGGAGTCAATTAGTCAGGGAACATGCACGTTATCCTCGCTATGTGATCCAACATAGATGGACAAAATTTGTTCAGCGAAATAAATAACGAAAGTACATTGATTCTACACATACTGTACACTATAAAAAAAAAAGTATCTTTATGGATGGGTCCGATGAATTTCAAAATGAACACCGCGACTCCTGTTGTCTTGGTAGGGTTGTCAAAATCCTTCGTCCGCTATATCATAATTATTGTCTCACAAAATCGTAGTTACTTTTTGGAGTGAGTGTACATAATGTAGGTACACAAACAATGACAAGCAGTATGTCGATCGAACTGAGGATTGCTGTACAATAGGTTGTTTCCCGGGCACTCCAGTATACTGTACAGTACTAACACAGGACACCATAGAACAGATGTTCAGCTGAAACACGTATAGAAAACTTCGTCAGTAATAAACCTCAGGAATTAATTAAATAAGAACAAGAGTAAGAGATGCAACACTTACAGGCAGCCACCACATGAAACGGCCAGCGAGGAAGTACCCGGCCACGGTGCCTCTGTTGGGGCGACACATAGACTGGAAGGAAACAAGGTCACATTAGCAGAAATGACTTACATAATAATATAGCTGAAGTGTTTTTTATTAACTGTCAGTTAAATAGTGTAGATGTAATTTATTGTTTTTAATTCTGACTAGAACAAATGTGTAAATAACAGTATGTTGCTCGCTTCTCATGATAGCAGGGGAGGCGAAAACAAACCCCAAAGGACGGTCCGACTAATTACCCAAATGTACCCAAATATAGCCGGAATGAAGTCAAATAATGGTCCTACATGAATAAATCGAACTGCAAATCACTTCTCGACTAGTATTTGGTGTCACAAAGTCACAAAAAATTGGTAAACTTAATTTAATCTGAGTTAATAGATCGAGTGCATTCCTCGCTCCGTCGGTACATGCACGTGATCTATTAACTCAGATTAAAGTAAGTTTTCCAATTTTTGTGACTTTCTGACACCAAATACTAGTCGAGAAGTGATTGGCAGTCCGATTTAGTCATCTAGGACCATTATTTGACTTCATTCCGGCTACATTTGGGTACATTTGGGTAATTAGTCGGACCCCCCCAAAGGATTCTACCAAATGTATCAAACTAAAACACGAGATAAGATTGGACCAATACGTTCAGATACCGGCGAGCTAACTGATAACGACGGAGAAATGAGCAATAATCTGAATAAATATTTTTCAACAGTTTTCACCACCGAAAATTTAAACATGATACCCGAGGCACCGACTCTATTCAGAGAGTGTGAAGAAAACAAATTAAGCGAGATAGTAGTGACGAGTAACGATGTTAATAAGCAAATAGACAAACTGAAGCCTAATAAGTCACCTGGTCCCGATGAGATATTTGCCAGAGTGGAATCCGACTGCGAGAGAGATTTAGGAGTAATGATAAGTAGGAATCTAAAGCCAAGTAAACAATGTGTTTTTGCTCGTAACAAGGCTAATAAAGTACTTGGATTAATACAAAGGAGTGTTAGTTACGAGGTCATCTTAAAATTATATCTAGCGATTGTGAGACCTCACCTGGATTACGCAGTTCAGTTCTGGTCACCGTATTACAGAATGGATATAGAATCCTTGGAAAGAATCCAGAGGAGAATGACAAGACTAATCCCGGGCATTAGGAACCTTGAATACAGAGACAGGTTAAAGCATCTTAATTTACACTCCCTCGAGAGACGTAGAGTGAGGGGCGACATGATAGAGGTGTATAAATGGAAGTCAGGGTTAAACAAAGGGGACATTACAAAGGTAGTCAAACTATCCAACCAGGAGCGAACTCGTAACAATGGTCTTAAATTAGACAAATTTAGATTTCGGCGTGAAATAGGTAAACACTGGTTTGGAAACAGAGTAGTGGATGAATAGAACAAGTTGCCAAATATCATCATAACTCGAATACGCTGGATAGCTTCAAACATAGGTTGGATGCTTACAGTATATGAGCAATAGGGGTTGGGTATAAACGGGACTGTCCCAGTATGAGTCAATAAGCCTGCTGCAGTTTCCTCCATTCTTATGTTCTTAAATAGATTGAATATAAATACCGCGGTCAATAACAGTCATTAGAAGTTAAGGTCAAGCCCAACTAAAGGCCAAATACGTCAAGTTCAAACACAGGTCAGATATATAAGTCAAGATCACATCAAACTCGAGGCTAAGTTCAGGTTAAGGTCAGTCAGATTAAGGTCACATAAAAATCAAGGGCATGTAAACGTTAAAATCAGGTCAAGTTAAAGTCAGCGTAGCCACAAGTTAAAAGTCGCGTAGCATCTGGAGAATCCCCTTAACTTTATCGATCAGAGAGACGAGTCCTCCTCCCCTTGTCAGCTTTACCCAGAAACTGACAAAGCCCTCCTCCTCTCTCCTTCTCCTCCTCTCTCCTTAAGAAGAATGGTAATGGGGGGGGGGGTGTCTTTGGAAGGAAGAGGAGATGAAATGGAATAGGAATAGGAGGTGGAGGGGAAGAAAGAAGTACAGAGAAGAGAGCGTAGAAGAAAGGGGAGGAGGAAGTGCAAGGGCGTAGGGGAGAGGAATATGAGTAAGAAAAAAGAAGGATAGCAATAAGAGAAGAAAGATGGAAGATAAGGGAAGGAGGGGAGGATAACGTAAGGAAGACTTTAAAGAGGTTAAGAGAGAGAGAGAGAGGAGGTAAGATGGGTGTGGCACATCAGGAGCCGAGTGTCTGCCATTATTGACCGGAGGATATCACGCCTCGTTGCTGGGTATACTGTGCATGGTCAAGTCCTGATATACTCTACCCAACCTAACCTAACCTAATCTACTTAATCTAACATAATCTAACTTAACCTAACCCAACTAATGTATATGGATTGGGGTCGATTAGAACTAAGACCACGTACGATTAGGGCTACTATATGGTCCCCTTAATATCCAAGAGTTGGGTTAGATTGGGGCTTTTTTAAGGATTTGGGGCCCATTTAAGCAGTAGGGGTCTTTAGGGACTGAGGGCCCATTTAAGCAGTAGGGGTCTTTAGGGATTGAGGGCCCATTTAAGCAGTAGGGGTCTTTAGGGATTGAGGGCCCATTTTACCCATCACCTATACAACACCAATATATCAACTCTTAATAGAGTCGTGCAATTATAACTTCACTCTCCCTCAAACGACAATGACTAATGACTTGTTTACACCACCGATCTACTATCAGATATCAGTGTGTTGTTTTGTGGGGTATTGTAGGAGGTAATGTGTGGGTCGTGAAGGACGTGTCGTGTGTTACTCATTGAACCCCATCACCTGAAGAATCAGTTGGGGACGTGTATAGCCTCGTGAAGATAAGAAGAACTGGGCCATAAAAATTGAAAGCTTTACAATCGAATATTTACCTTTGTTGTCACTAGTGTTTGGGACTTCAACCCATCTGGCTAAACTTATCATAAGTATCAGCAGAAATGTAAGACGTTAACTTCCTCTCATCCCACCCCCGAGTCGTTCTTGAGACAGACCTACTGTACCTCCTGATTACTTCAAGTACCTCTCCAGATAAAACATATATTAAAAGTTCAGTAGTTCAAAAGTTGGGAGGAGGAGAGAGGACCAACACACTTATCAAGACGAGGCCAGTGTTACCATCTACGAGGAACACAATTAATGGGACCTCTATTGAAGTTATACTATATTTACCACGAGTCTTGTGTAAAATACTAATTAAAAAAATGTAAGGTGTTTGTCTACCGAATTGCATTACTGATAAGAGGCTGGACCGTAAAATCTCTAAGTGCGCGTCGAGTAGAATCAAAGTAGGTGATCAATTTGTCTGATTTGATCACTTAAATCCGATAGGACGCATTTGTAACTAATGTTTTGACCGAATTATTTTGCATTTTTTTTTTGCTATCTAGTATTTTTCAAACACTAAAAAACATTAAATGAATTAGTGTTGTTGTCCCTAGGAAGATGAGATGTTAGATAAAATTATGAAAAATAAAAGAAAAGGGTAGTGTAGACGCCTCACTCTACAGTGACGTCACCATTATTAATGAAGCCGGAGAGATAGAGGAGGAAGGGGGGTTGTGGCTCCACTTCCCTACTGGCTGTCCTCATGTTTACATTGCAATCGAAACAGTTTACATTACTAGAAATTGGCATATATAAATTATAATATATCAATAATTCACACACAGCCAACGGAGAGCTGTAGCTTGAGTGACTTGTCTGTGCAGTACAAAAATTTTCTCTTCTGCATCCACCATAAAGGCAAGCATGAACTCCGCATGCTTCCCAGTTGGGCACTGTAAACGCTTCTGCGCTTCACCTTGCACAGGATGTCAGGGGGTGCCCAATAAAGTAACCCCTCGTGGGCAATCTGTAATCTGTATGTGTACCTAAATTTACTGTTTGTGTACCGAATAAAGGTTTAAGTCTATATTGTCCTGTATCTACATTGCCCCTATGGAACCCGCTGTTAAGTTTCACCATAATGTAGTATTGGCCCAGACCAGAACTCGTAAAACCTGTCGAGAATTTTTTGCACGTAAGGGGTCATTAGGTGGTGGGTTGCCTACTTCCTACTGCAGACACCCACCCGCCCCAAACCCATACGAACAGTGATTATTAAATCTGCTCAATAACAGCCTATCGAATGTCATTTTGATTCTGTCGATTCTTAACTATCGATAGATGTACAGCTACTCACTCCCGTGATAGTGGGCAATTCACTATAGCGGCATATATCAATGTGTAGTGGAATTTATTTCATACGTTCATGGTCCAGTTATTTAGACAGAATTTGATTCAACCTACTATGACAACGACTAATTCGTCATAAGTTGCGTGGTGAGGTCATACACGTGTCTTCTCTTATCAGTGAGTGTGTGTACGCGCGTGTCTGTGTGCGCGCCTGGGTGTATGTGTGTCTGGCTACTTGGGTTAACCTCGTGTTGCACCCATACTATTTTCTCTAGTTTCCTCCCGCCTATCCTTGTCCATCCTTAGTTTCTACTTTTCTCTATTTTCATCTTGACTCCCTCCCCCTCCTGCCCGTCTTTCAGCCACCTCTTGCTGACAGTAACCTGGTTCAATATGGCTTTGGTTAATCATCGTCCCTGGAGACCCTGGCTTTTTTTTTTTTTTTACGGGGATTAGCCCACCCAGGCACAGGTCACTAGCCCACATCGGGGCCGGGGGAGCGAAATAATAATAATAATAATAATAAAGAACCATAAAGAAACACAAAAATGAAAAACAAATCAAAAGTGAGAAGCAATATATGTGTGTTGTGTTGTCAATAGTAAGAGAAACAATAGAGACCCTGCAATTGTGTGTAAATGAGGCAGAAAGTCAGATGAGCAACCTGAGACTTGGTCACAATTTTCGTTACGCCATATGGCAGCAGGGTCTACACAACACAAACACTGTGAAGGAGACACGTGACCAGTCAAATGTTATCACCAAACACATACGTACACACTGACACATACATTTACGTACTGTACATACACTCAAGTTCTTCCTCCATAACAGATAGGTCTACCAAGCGTACCT